TTTGTCTCATAGAATGTGAAAATAATTATTTGGCAGAAAGAAGATATCTGTTGCTGTTCAATTGTCTTGCTAACTGTTTTTGACTCATGCTAAAATTTCCAGATAGGTACAAAATTCACAGTGGGATAAATTGTATGTGCTATGCTTACCTCAAGAACAAACTTTTAAAATTCATTCCCATATGAAAACCTAGACTAAACTTGTATCTAGACTTAGAGAAAATATTAAGGTGATAAGGTGAGGGTGTGATTCAGTAATTCTGAAAATGACATAGGAATCCCAGCAAACAATCAAAAGAAGCCAATCTGGTGTTTTATGCAATACAGCAATGTAATTCCTGCGTGCTTACATCTGCCATTATCAAACTGAAGAAGGCAGATGGGATTATCTCAAATCTACAGTGGCATTGACTCAAGTATTATTTGACCATTCCTTCCCATCTTATCTCTTCACAAAGGGTACTAAATACCACAGAAACAGTTCTGAGAGGAGTTACAAGGAAAGTTGAAAGAAAATAGAAAGAGAGCCACGCTTAATCCATTGGTTTTTCAAATATTGTTTATTAAGGGTAAGATTAAAATATAAGATCCTTATACATTAAGTTGTAGTAACTGATTGTACATAGCTCTTTATCTGAAAAGCTAAAACTAGTGAACTTGAACTAGACAAACTCAGATTAAAAATAATACTCTGTTGTTTAACAAGTGACAGTAATTAATCCCTCAAATATTTTATTAAGGGAAAAAGCAAAGTATCTACATCTTGACTGTAAATCAAAGGATGCATTTATACTTGATCCACAGTTATTCAATCCTAACTTTTGATTGTGATGTTACGATGTTGAGACAAAATTCTCTGCTCCATAAGGCCCACACTCTTGGAGTCCATGAACTGTTTTTTGGTTGCTCTGCTTCAATGACAGCACTCTACACTTCTCTAGTACTCTCTACTGAGAGCTCTTAATAGCTCTGCAAGACAGCAACATATCTAGTGCCAGATACTGCATCAGGACTCTGGAAAATTGGGGTCCACGTGGACAGTGAGCTAGTTATTTCACCTTTCTGTACCTGAGATAACCTTGGGATGGGGACATGCATCAGTCCAAGGAGAGTGATTTTTGCCTCGGTTGCTGGTTCAACAGCAACCCTTGATTTTCAGCTGCTGTGCAGCTTATTAGGTAGAAATTACCACTTAGTTCCCTCCTCTGTAAGGGTTTTGAGAGAGCCTGGCAACTCTGTGTGTTTCTGCTCCTCTCCACCCTCTGTTTAGTCGCCCTTAGGCTGTGTTGTGTGTGGGAATTAGGGTATGCTGACCATGTGCCATCCAGGGAGTAGCAACTGTATTTTCCCCTACAATTTTCCTACTGTTATCTTTTTGCCCTCAGTCATCTTCCCAGAAAAGGCTTCAGATATGTTTGTTGATTTACAAGTGCACTATCGATGGTGCCTACAGTAATAATTGTTCATATTGTTAATGTCTATGAACATCATATGACTGCTGGTATTACCACAGTGGAAAATTCCAGTTGTAAAAGAAAATTCAATATCAGTGGTGATATGAAAAATTGCATAAAATACCTTCAAATGCCTTGTTTTCATTATGTGTGTGTGCATCAATGTGCCAGAACTTGTATGCAGTTCATTAGCAAGCCGTTGGTTATTAGAGGTGGCTTCATACAGTTTGCAGATGAACATTTGCTAGAACCGAATTTGAAACATATTTAACTACAGCTTTGTCGATGTTTTTAATTGCAAAGAGAGCTATCTTGCTGTCAAGCTTTTCATTTCGCTTAGCCATGAAAGGACTTCTTCTTTTAACACTTCTTAAAGACTCTGAAAGTGCTCTTCAGCCACTAGTAATACTAATAAAGGCCAAATAGGAAATGTTTTTCAGCCTCCTTGGAAAATTTTTCTTGATTGCCTTTTCCACATGGGGATTAACCCAAGCGTATTCACCTATTTTCAAACTGGAAAAACGAGAAAATCAGATAGACTGGTTCTCATTTGGGATAGACATAAATGTTATGTGAGTGGGGTCATGAAAGGGGAAGCTTATTCCCTGTCTCAGGTTTAAAAGTGAAAGTCACACCGTATGAAACAATGGGGGCCCAATCTATTCTGCCCTTGTTATTCTGTTTCTGGTCATGCTCACCTCAGAATGACTGAAAATGCAGTATTTTGGCCAGTGATCTGAGAAAAAAATAAGGTTGGGATGCAAATATTATCTCTGAATATATTTTTTTTTGTTTCCCACCGGCTTCCCCCTCCAGCAGAGGAGAGTTCATCTTTGTGAAAGCACATCTGTATTTTGCACAAACTTTTGGCTTTGAGCAGTTGATATATATGTGACAGAAAGCCATTTTACCAGAAAAATTCCCACCAACTCCAATGTTGATCTTTTGGAGGGCAGCAGCAGGACTCCAGTTCTATAGGGAATTTCACCAACAAATATAAAAGTAGAGAGTTTAAAGCTTATATTTCCAAATATTTTCTCTAATTTTAGAAAGAGAATTCTTATCGCCCACTGCCTTTTGTCTTGCTTCTGCTTTGTCTTGCTTCTATAAGCCAGATTTCTTCTTCTTGCTTTGAAATGTCATTATTTTTCTTCCTTTAGCTGCTCTAAGCCAGCAGAGTGAAACATCTCCATATTTTGTAAAAGAATATATAAACTTTGTTATTTGAATCTTTCTGCCAGGTTCAAAATAGTCTTTATATATTATTAAGTATCGTAACTATTCTTTTGTTGCATTAAGACGAAATATCAACTTTTATATGTGAAAGGCCAGATGAATCTTTCCATTTAAGATTTCTCAACTGTAGCAATAGAGCATGAAAGCTAAGACAAAATTACTAACATGAGAGAGAAGTGCATTACTGTGCTATTGTGTCTGAAGTGCAGGAGGGCTGACAGGATGGGTAGCACTTGTACAATGCAGGGATAGATATCAAAATGTTCACCACTGCATATCTTCAGCTGTGCACTCACCTTCTAAAATGGGAATGGAAATTATCATGTAAATAAATTTATTGTCTTTCAAAATAAGCTACTTTTAACTGATGATTTTGTAGCATCCATTGCTCTAAATTCCTACAGCTATAGTTATGGAGTTTATAAAACTACTCTGCTCAGAAACATAAATTTAAAAAGAAAACCAATTGTTCCTCCCAATCGTCAAGATAGCTTTTTCCAGTAGAAAAACTGTCTTCCTTCCCTTTATCTAGGCTCTGTTTCTCTTTTCTGTTTGGTGCCCATTGTTAGCAATAAAACTGAGTAAAATTGCAATGCCATCAACTGGCTCAATAAGAAACATTGGTGTCTAACATTGAAAAGTTTGACCCTGTTCAGCTAAGGGATTCATGACTGAGACTTGGAAAATTGTTTGTGAAAATGAGTAGGAGATTGGAAGAAACAGTGTAGTTACTAGATAGGAGGAAGAAATAATAAGATTTAAACTTGTTTTCTTTTGAAACTCAATTGTATGGCATCATCAATTGTATGCACGTGTTAATAGATGTCTGAATATTGTCCTGTGTGGCTATAGCTGCTTGGCTTGCTCCATCTGCCAGTTCTTGTGACTTTATTTCTGACGGTGTAAAGAGCTTGAAAGCCATAATAGGATTTTGGGGTTTTTCTGAGAAGGAAAAAGTGGATAAATTTACATCAGATCTCTGTGTTAAGAGGTTAAGAGATATTTTGATGGAGAAAGGCTATAAACTGAAAATTGTGATCTGGAGTCTCTGTGTCCCTAAGGTGGCAGGATTGCAAACAGTTTTCTCTGGATTCACAAGAAAGAGCTCTGTAGAGGCCTTTTTGCCAAGACTTTGGGATGCCATATTCCCTGACAGGTCATGTGTACTTTGGCTGATGACTTTTCTCTGCCTGCCTGGGTATTTTCTTTTTTTGGCTGACATTTTAAAGAAAATACAAGCCACAGTTCTATAACAAAATTTGTTAGGAAAAAAATTTTCAAACTTTCAACTTAATTATTTTAATGATTTCACTTTTAAAATGTTTTAGATTTGAGTTTTTCAACAAAAATCTTTATTCAGGAAAATAGGTGGGGTTATTTCTTGAAGGTATCTCATGTAATTAATTAGAATTTCTAACTATCTCCAACATACCCTTCTGTGGCTTAAGTAACATTCCTAGAAGGCTTCACTATGCTTTTTTACACTGCTCTGGCATATTTACTTGTTCAGATTATTCTTAAATGGTGCTATATATTCAAATGAACCCATCATGATTTCAATGAATACCAAAGCAATTAATAATGATTAAATACTTACATTAAATGTCATTCTCTCATATGTATTTCAGTTAGAAAAAAAATTCTGGCATCTATTTTTATTTGAAGAGAGTCACATTGCCCACAGAAAATTTCAAGAGCATACTCAAAGTTTAGCAATTAGCATAGATCAGAAGGCCAGAAACAGAACAGACAGCGAGAAGCGGTTTGGAATTTTGGTTATTTCATAGGAGGCATGTGCTTTCTCAAGCTGTTTCTTTCCTGGAACCAAGATGAAAATCAACATGTAAAAAAATTATTTTTCAGCTTTTTGAAGAAGAGAAGATATGAGAAAGATTTCTTTGTTGCTGTTGCCACATTTGGTTATGAAAACCAAGAATGGGAGTTTGAGTGCAATCACTCCCTGGGTCTTTTGGCAGTTCTGAGGTGTCAAGAGTTTTGTTCTGTTGAGCATGTCGTAGTGGGTGTTTCAGCTGTCACTTCTGAACCAGACTGCAGGGCTAGTGGAGGCCCCCCCCTCCTTTCCCTTGCCTGATTTCTTTTGTGACCACACATATTTAATAGTGGGGAGGGAAACAGGAGACAATCAGAGCAGTTTCATATGTCTCTGATCATATAAAATATAATAAGCCTTACAATGGGATTGAAAAGAAGGTGAGGATATACATGTCCTCCAGGGACAGTTTGTCATTTATTTATGACAAAATCTTTTCCAAAAATTGAATTGAAATGGTTTTTATTTTGCATTTCGCAGGCCCCTCCATAATAGTGGCCTTGGCAACTTTCAAAGGACAAGAAGTAAAACAGTGGTAAGTTCAATACTTGTACAGCAGTTCAATATACCTAACCCCAAGACAATTGAAATTATTTCCCTTTTCTGGCAAGATTGTGAACTAGAAGGACATTAATTGCTGAACTTGTAATAAGATCCAGTATTTTTGGTAAAAGTAAATTATTTACCATTTACTGTTCCATTTACAGGCTTGATAGTTTTTATAGCTGTATTACCTAGAGTTTTTCACTGCTCAGTATATTCTCCCTTGCTAAAGAGGAATTAAATACAGCATCTGATGGAGAGGATGCAGAGCAGATGGGCAAGTGTATATTGCAATTTCATCATGGTCCCTCCTTGCAAGGCAGCCTTTATGAAAAAGAAACACATGGGTTTTTTCCTCCCTCTTTTCTCAGGGCGTAGCAGAGTGACATTAATCTGCCATGATTGAGATATCAGTTTGGTTAGCAGGCACAAAGCAACCTTAAGCAAAAGGGCAAAGCAGCTTGAGAAATGTTGGCTGTTAGTGCTTGGTAACAACCCGATGGAGAAGCCCTGAAGTGGTTCAAATCACAGACTGCCTGCTAAGTGGTCTTTGGGGAGCCTGCTCTGCATCTAATCCCAACGAGAGAAATATGAGAGGCAGCAGACTGGAGATCAATGTAGGTGCCTTGCTGGGGATATTAACTACCCCACCTTCACTTCTGGCTCCTGCAGCATGACAACTCTATTCCCAGAGGGCCAGAGGATTCTGCTGGGGTCTGTAGCAAAGTCTGTTGAAAGCAGGAGAATTGACATTTTGCTGATTGTCTCGACTGCTTTGACATCTCACAAACAGTACAAATGATCGCTTATGTAAAGGTTATTTGAATAAAGGTAAGATCCCTTGGTGTGACTTAACTGTAAAACCATTCCAGTTCCCTTTAGATGTCCCTCTGAGATTTCTAGTCTCCTAAAATGTGCATGTACTTCTAATTTGCCTGTAGCATAGGAGAAGGCTGGAATCTGAAATCTGCAGAGTAGACTGGGCTTGCACAATACACTGAAACTAGGCTTATTCAAAAACGCTCTTCCAGGGCTTTAAAGAAGACATGAAAAAATATCTGAACCATTAGTGTCTCAGGGAGCTGAGGTGGAGGCAGCCAGGGAGATGCTGAAATGGGTGCTCCTGCTGACAGAGTTACAGGGAAAATGAAGGATTTGCTCTGCAGCAGGAGCTTTGCTACACAAGCCCAGGGAGCTTTGCTGCCCAGTCCCCAGTGTCATGGGGAGGGTTTCTCCAGCAGATGGGGGAAGGGTGCTTTTGGGAGACAAAGTCATGGAGCTTGAGCTCTCATTTAGCGTCTCAGTCTCTGAAAACACTTGGATTATGTTCATAGGATTTCTCAACAGCTCCCCTTAGGACTAGAGTCTTGGGATGGGAGAGGTGTGCTGGTTTGTTTTGGTGTTCAAACCAACATCAAACATTTTAAAATTAAACTATTTAAGTTGAGGAGACAAAATTTTAAGACTCACCATGGAATGTTGCAAAGGGCTCATGATATTTCAACGGCAAAATTGTGTATTAGATGTGGCTTGGACACTCCTTCTTCATAGCTCCTGTTGTGGGGAATGGCACAGACACTTGTGCAGAATCCCTCTGAAAGGGGAAAGCCCATGTCCTGATGTCCTAAACCAAACCTGCCATATACTGTCAGAGCACATCTGGAGATTTGTGCAATTAGACCCTCATCTGCATGCCCATATAGGCATTTTTTTCATTAACTGTATAGTTAACTGTATCCAATTAGCATACAATGACATACCTGAAACAAGCAAAAATCTGTCATGGAAAATTGAAAACATAGTTTTAGATGGTATTTTCTTTCATATCTGAAAGATTCTCAGATACTTTGCTGCACTGATAGATACTGATAGATCATGAGAAAAAATGAAGTTACACGAGGTTGGTGGGAATAGTTGGCATCTCTGGGTGATTAATAAATTCAGTTTTTCTGCATACTTGTCCTGAGTTCTGATTTAACTTGATGCAAAATCATTTTAAAAAGATGACACCGAGATTAAACCCAGCACTGCTGCATTGTGCCATACTTAGTTATGCTCCTGAGATAAACTGGAACTATGGGAAGGAGATTTTGGCCACTTTATTTGCAGAAATGTGCTGACAACCTTTGTAATTATGCTCTGCTCCTACTTCGAGGCTCCAGAGGGATCATGTGTTGATTACAAAATAGCCTGTGAAATTGTTTCATATGAACATCATGAGAGTCACATCATAGTTAGGTGAACAGATTTCCTATTGCTCCTTCAAAACAGTTTCTCCTATAACATCAAGGTCTCACCAATATGTTGAAAGAACCCCACATTTGTATGTTCCATGTAATATAGCTAAAAAGCTTTGTACCCGAGATATTATACTTCTTATTTAGGAAGCTTTTCTTACAAGGTTGTGGGCCAGAAATCCTCATTTACTTTAAATACAGTAAAACCTTAGCCTACTGCTGTTGCACAGAAATCTTTTAATTGCTCTGGTTGTGGTAGCAAGGTTTCCATCAGAAAGGTACAATGTTTCTATCAGAAAATCTACACTCTCAACTGACACAGAAAAGCCCACTGTGGGGAAGAGAGCTGGTGATTTTTTTTCTCTGTGTATTTTGGTTGCAAAGTTTTGCTAGAGCTTTTTTTTTTAAAGTGACAATGCTGTACCATACATACATAGAGAACATGAGCTGATGCCAAGGTTTAGCAGTCATCTGGAATTGCCTGTTGGATTCATACTTGCAGTACGTGTATGATGATTTTTATAACAAATTATGAAATGCCAAGTAATTATTAATTATTGGACACTTGCTATACAATATTGCCTATCAGTGAGTGACTCCATCTGGTCTGAAACTATTGCAAATACTCTAAGGAAAAACTGTTTAAGAGGAGGAAGGGCTTCATAAAATGGAAAGTAAAAGGATGGAAAAATAGAAAAGAAGAACTATTTCCAACTTTTTGGCACTGAGGTTCAGTGAAATCCTTGTTAGACTTTTCAGAGTTCTGTAAGAGACCAGCCCTCCATGCAGAGCTGATTACATGAAGTTCTTGTGCGTTGCCTGCCAACCCATGTTCTCACCAACATACAGCCTCCATCTGCATCTGCAAGAGAAGTGGACAAGCAATGAGAAAAGAAATTATTTTGTTCTCCTCACTGTCATTAACAGACTTTTGTTAGACTTTCTGTATTGAGGAAAAGTAATTATTGTTAATACTGTGAGGAATATTGAATAGGCAACATTGATTGGCACTGAAGTCACATTTAATGACTCTGCTTTGGTAGAATCTTTACAGGAGCTTTATGTCAGGCCAGATTTGTTACTGAAGGTCCCCAAAATCTGTGTACTTGATGAAACCTCACCTTTCTCACTGCAACTTTCTTGCTTATTGTCATATTTCACCATTTGCCCTGCAATAAGAGCAGGAGGATTCATTTGCTATGTTGGCAGCCTGTGTTGGCTGACCTTCCACATGCCATCCTAATTTCCTTCTAACAAGGTTTTTCAAATGCAAAGTTGCAATTTAATTGCTGAGAGACATTTGAACATGAATAGCAGTAACAGAAACCAGGACTCTGGGGATGTGACTATTTGTCACCATAATCCCACCATTCAAGAGGAGATGATCAGCTGGTCTGGGTTCATGTAAGTATTACTTACACTCAAAGCTGAGAGGCTTGCCAAGTTCAGAATGTAAATATTGTTCTGTCCAATTTGAAAACCAGGACTCCACGACCAAATTGGATCTCTCAAACATCACTGAGTCAGTGTGGAGGAGTCCTCCACTTTTTTGGGTTTCATTGTGATTTGGGTTTGATGATGCTCTTGCAGCTTCACTTAAGGAAGGATTGTACTTCAGTTACACATCTGCTATCGACAGCCAGCTAATCGCAAACATTTGAAATCTTTGAGCCAGGAACTCCACTAGTATCATTTCAGTTGACATGTACTGATTTCCTGAAGGCAGCTGAGGATGTGGCAATTTACACAGACCTGTCTTGCTACTTCTTTTACCTATGGATGGTTAGAGTGAGCAGCTTCTACTAAAATTATTTTCTTCTCTTGAACCACATTAAATTTGTAAGTACGTCCTCTCCCCATTTTATTGGTATTTCCCCTTTTCCTTCTTAATCATTAGTAGTTTTGGTGTTCTTTTTTTTTTCTTTTTGTTTGTGATCTGTTTTCTTAACCTTCCTTTTAATTCCCTGTTTGACTCATTTCTCTGTGCTTTCTGCAAAAAACCTTTTTGTTTTTATTCCCAGGCAACATCTGACCACCCTTTCTGTCCTTCCTGCTCGCCATCATGTTCCCTGCCAGAGTCAGTACAATAAGTCAAGGAGGAACAAATGTCTTGCTTGTCAGTGCCCTTTCTATTTCCTGCTGTCCAGACTTCAAGGGTTAATTCTCACTCAAGTTCAAATCACAGGAATCCTAAAGAGGGAGTTTTTTGCCCACTTGCCTAAACATCCTTCCTTCATTAGGACTCCTTTCCAAATAAAATTGTGAGGTTTAAGTCTGACCTTGCCCAAGTGAGTAATCAAAAAAACTGTGTTACACCCCAGAAGTGCTTTTATTTTCCACTGAAGACAACAAATCTCTTTCCTGCTGACCTTCAGCTGCCTCAGAAGCAAATCACAATAATTAACAGGTTAGACTCATATTCTGCAACTTGGTTGCCACTTGACATCAGGATTTCATCAGCACTTAGCTGCTTTTTTTTCCCTTCCTCTGGCTAGTGTTTCTGGTGGTAATCACCTCATCTGTCAATTACAGTGTGTGTCTCCTCAACCAGGGTTGAGACTCTGCGGGCTCCTGTCACTGTAAATAGTCACACCTATACCAAGGGAAGGTATTTCTGGTGTTTTAGGAGAGAAGTGGGTGCAGAAATTTGGTATGGAGCACTTCTACCGCCAAAGGAATGACTGAATGGGGAAATGTGGAGGGCTCAGGGAAATGGCAGGTTTACTCAATGATTTTGAGTCCACTTCCAACTCTG